CCCTAACTCTAACGCTAACCCTAACCCTAAAAAATGTCCCCCAAAAAATTTTAAATTTTTCTAAAAAAATAGAAAAACTACATTTTAATCCGATTTCATTTTAATCTGTCACAATTAATAAAAAAATCAATTTTCTTGGTAATTATCTATTTAAAATTGATAAAATTTTTTTTTTATTTTGATTCTATGAAATCATAGAAAAATTTTTATCAATTTGATCAGATAATCAAGAAATTAATTTTTTATCAAATTGGTCCCTTTTCTTAGTACCTAACTCGTATAATCTTATGTATTAGATAATTAGTGTAAAATATTTACTATTTTCTGCCTCGACGCAAATTAATTATTTCAATCTTATGCATTGAATGCAATATTTATATTAACACATGTTGCGCATCTCACATGTTGGCTGAGATACTAAATGAAAGAGCAAATTGTTACTCTAGTGGAATTCTTCTATAGAGTTTTTCCTTGAACATTTAAAAGCTACTACCGTATAGACGCGTAATAGCGCGCATCTGTACGTTATTTCGGAACGCGCATGCGCGGTAATTCGAATAATTAACCTAATTTTAAAGAACTACTAAAAATTTACCTGAGACTATGTATGCGTTATTTTGAGTCAAATATGCGATTTTCAAAAAATGTAAATTTCAAAATAACGCCCATGTGCGTTGTTACGCGTCTATACGGTAAGCAAGCCAATCAGGACTAGATCAAAAAATTCGAGCATGTCTTTGTATGTTAAAAATACTTATCATCAATCGTTCGTGAAGCCATATTTTATCCTCAACAATTTTGTTGATCGTGGCTTTCAACCAGAGGTTCTCATCTTGACCTCGGAAATTAGGTTGGACTTTCTCGAAGAATGCCAATATAACAATATATAAGATCCTTTTCACGCATGGGTAATTCACAATTTTAATTTAACCACTAGAATTGTTTAATAACAGCAGGGTGCAGTCAGAATTTTCCGAAAATTCACAATAATTCCGGAAAACAAAAATACGAAAAATAAGAAAATGACAGTCCAAACCTATCTTGATATACTAACAAAAATGATGGGGACGCAATTTTACTATAATAACAACTAATCCTAATGTTAATTAGATAAATTTAGATAAGTTCGTCAGGGGGACCCTTCCAAAGTTCGGATGTAAATATTTCACTGTTGTCGGATAATTACTATTATGTCGTTATAGAAAATTATATACTTTTAAATAACCTGATAAGAAATTAGTTTCCATATACTCATTCATTCGTGTAATAGTGATGTCGAGAACTTCAGGGGGGCCACTCTCTAAATAATCTAGCTCATATCATTGTCTAATACCGCGCAATTAACTTTGAATCAATTAATCGTAATCAGTTGATACATCACCGATTCGTATCACTAGTTACAAAAATAGCTAAAGTTGTTCGCTTAACAGCTTAATAATTCGCAGACTATTTATTGCGTAAGCCAATATTTGTACAATATTTATAATGATCACAAATTATTTTCAATTTTCAGCATATTTTTTCAATAATTATTATTGAAAGCTTCTTTAAACTTCATTTCTATTTTGATAATTTAATCAGAATTAGATATTCCATATCTGCAGATTTTCGATAATAGAAGAATGCCTTATGTTCGTCCTTTTCAACTACAATTTAATAAAGATACGTGCTATATATCCGCGAAATATTTATTTGCGCGTTTTTTTTACCTACACGTTATTTTGAGATGCCTATGCGCGTTACAAGAGTCGATAAACTTTTGTAACTGTAAACATTCAATTAAAATGAATTACAAAAAGTTTTTACGAATTATCACACTTTAATGATCGTGTTTTCAATCACGCAGAAATCTGCAAAATTTAAATTCTCTTTATTACTTAAAATAACAAAGATTCCTCAGTATATATGGGGCGTTCTCAAGTGCCTTAATCAATGGGTCCAAATTTGTTGAAAATGTGACAGGAATTAAATTTTAATTAGCGGAAGGTATTTTTAACCGATCAAACGGTTAGTTTATTACATCAAAGAAAAATTTTATTCTATTGTCAGCGGCAAAATCGACGATCCCGTGATGTCACGAGATACGGGAATCGTAAGCAAAAAAATAAAAATAAATAAATATTTTTTCGTACCTCCCGTATGAGAGGTGATGGCCATGCCCCGAAAGAGTGCGGATCGAGCCAAGCCATTAAAGCCCTAACCGGACAACGACTAGGTAAGATATCGTGGCTAAATCGTGGCAAAATCGTTGTCCAAGATCACGGTAGGGAAAAACGGAAGATGAGGCGTAAGGAGTAAGTCCATGGGAAGCCCATATTTCCGCGGATAAGGAACCAAGCAAAGCCGAAAGATTGACGGGTGAAAGATAGATCGGATAAATCGTGTGGCCGTGGGGAAAAGAAGGTGGATGGAAGAATCAGTAACGATGGTGTGACGGAGACTTTGTATTCTTTTATTTTCTTTTTCTTTTTCTTTCTTTCCATTTTGTATAAATAGAGTAGCAATTTGCTTAAGTTAGGTATTTTGCAGATCAGTATGGTATAGGTGGGCAGATGTATAGTATAGGTATTTTGCAGATCAGTATGGTATAGGTGGGCAGTGAAAGTTCGAGTTCGAACAATAAAAATTCGAATACGTTCTAATAAAACCCTTTAACCCTTGCTGCTCCAAAAAGTCTTTCGTTTGCATAATGCATTCGTACCCACAACAAAACACTTCGCCTTACCTTGCCAAATCTTTTTCGCCTCACCCCCACTTTGTTTTGTTGTGTAGTAGTTAGTTTTTGTGTGTTGTTTGAGAGTGGTGACTATCCCGACCCGTTTCGTCCTCCTAGCAGTCCTACTAACACTATTAACAAACTTTTTGCCTTTTTTTTTTTTTGCATTGGCATAAATATTAAAAATAATAAAGTTATTGTTCAAGAATTTTCATGCTTTTTATTATAGTTCTTCATTATCGATAATGCTACTCAAGTACTGATTGAGACTTTTATTTTGATCTATCGTGGGTTAGCAAATCACAACCTGAGCAAAATATCAATAATTTTACTATTGATTTATTATTTAAAATGTTATGAGAATAGCTAAAATTACGCCATAGTACTTGTGCACTATTTCGATTACTATAAAATTGCATATAGGGAGGCACTTGAGAGAACGTCCATATTCTAGTATAATACCCATTAGTATATTAGATATGTACAGTAGTTGGTTGATTACCGGTAAGAAAAATAAAACTTTTTAATTTTATTTATTAAAGTTTTACAAACTTTAAGCACAAGTATCACAAATGTATTGTTCATTTTTTTATATTTAAGCTATTTTCAAATTCTACAAACTTGAGGAATCGAATAATTCTAACATCAAAACTGACCAGACTGGTATTGCGAAATCTTAGCTCAAAGTTTAAAAAAAAACATATTCTCTATTGGAATTTTGATAATGAAGAAGACAACAATATTCTCATCAACTGCATGCTCGTTATGCGCGATGTACTCCCTCACTGTTTATCACAATTAACCCGGCAGACCTTCATAGCCCTATTGTCATGATGTATGCTGATAATGAGATAGATCTTGCGAAGTTCAAAGAACGAACTTTATACGAACATGTTAAACATGTAACGAGAATATCATATTAATAAGAGAGACAATTACATCCTTATTAATGTAAAATATGAAACTTGAATATTTTAGTGGTCGTAAAGTGGAAACAATTTATTTGAGTTTGCTAAAAATTTGCAGAGAATCAATCATACTGGTTTTCTCACGCAATAAACATCAAGAGTGCCCAAAGCTATTAGTAAGTTGATACCGCGTCAAGCTTTTCAACAGTGTCAAATTCGACTTTAGGTAACTCCATGACTTTTGCCATCAAGGGATTTAATGATTATATATTATTGTATATAAAATTGACGTGAACAAAGAAACATGTCTTATTATTTCTGTTTGCTCATTTAGATAATCAAAGAAGTACAAAATCCCGAGCAAAAGCAAAGAACAAGCACATGATCCTCGAACGGCATGACATCAAATTTTATAAAAAAGTATCTAGCCAGATACGAAAATACAACTATGCTGGTGGCATATTCGTCGTGCAGTTTTACGTAGATTACGAACCAAGAATCCACAGCTAAAACAAATTATTACCCGGCACGAGCAAAAAATATTCGTTTTACAGTACATTATTCACCCATTAGCAGTGAAGCCCATTATTTTGAATGCGAGTAAGTTAATAATTTTTTTTTTTTGAAACACTAAATAATTCAATTTAATGCTATTTATAAGATGGATTTATTGACCTATCGTTCGATGCTAATGGTGATTATAAATATATCTGTCATCTCAGAGACCACTTTAGCAGCTTCTCTTGGGCCGTACTTACGTCCAAAAGGGACATATAGGTTGCGTTCACCTCCATCTATACTACAATCAAAACTTCAGCGCTTCAGTAATTACAGAAGTTATGAAATAATTAACGGGAGACCATGTCACCCATACAGAGCACAAAATCTACTATAAAATACCGGAGATTCCGGTAAATTAAGAAAAATTCGGCACATTTTTACATCATAACCGATTACTACTGTCGTTACTACCTCCGGTTATAGATCTTAAATTCTGTTTAATAAAAAGATCGCCGGAAAAATATCAGGATACGTCATGCCACAATTTTGTGCTCTGCACCCATAGTCTCAAGGCTTAGTTGAACGTAATTCTTCAACAAAAATTGGGAAAATAGAAAGATACAGGACGAAGTGGTTAGTCATTTGGACTTGGTTTGTCATATCATCGATGAGCAATAGTTATTACTGTTCTCATATAGCAATAAGTCTCGCGAAAACTGCATACTACATTACTGAATTATTTTTTAAAAAATCATTGCATGAAGTGCACTTTTTTTTTGAAAAAAAATTTTTAATAAAATTAGAAAATTGCATCTACATTAGTGTTCCAAATCGTCAAAAATTTTCCAATCGATTAGTTGACTAATTCAAAAATTTTCAATCGATTAGTTGTCAACTAATCGATTTATCGATTTTAGTCGATTATTTTATTATAAATTGACAAAAGTTTTCAATCGATTAGTTGTTTTTTTCAAAATTTTTCATTCGATTTATCGATTAGTTGACAACTAATCGATTTTTCGATTTTCGATTTGTATCACTAATCTACATTGCCTTGAAAATAATAACTTGTTTCTTCTAAATAGCACGATTTTAGTGTTGTTCTTGTAATGGCAACAATCACGAGTTTTTATACTGTATATGAATGATTTGTTTTATATTCATCGCTGCTAACGTTATATAACTCATCATTTAGTAGATAAATGTCAGTGATGATGCTGAAATTTGGGTCACTATTTGAAAATATAAACGCTACCAAAATCCATATACTCTTTGATTATAATACTTTAACCCTAAATTCCCCCAAAAAAAAAAATAAATAAATGCTTTTTACATTTGAAGATTTGATTGGAAGTATATGGTTTTTTTTAGTATCCATCTGCTTCAAATGAAAGCAAATAATTTTACAGAGCAATTATTTGTCCGCTTCACCTTATTGATATTAGAATGCGGATGTTTTATGAATTTACATTTTTGACTTTTAGGATAGCGGCTTGCCAGGTATTCTCATTTTTTCTTTGATTAATATATGTTTCTAGGATTCACCTTTTTCCTTGGCATTATAACCGGTGGAAATTTAAAAATGACGCATCGATTCCGAATTGATAAGAACCAATAAACGACACTATTTTGTCTAATAATTTAGACAATCTGTGAAAATCATATGATAAAATTTTAATAAATTGTGTGACCGTTAAAAAGTGCATATCGTTATCAAATCGCATAAAAATTGAGTTCTCTACTTCGTTCTGAATAATAAAATTCAAACTCGTCCGTTAACCAACAATGACATGGAGAAACCAATTATCAAAGAATCTTAAAGAACTTCGTGTACATTTTTGCCAAACTTCTCCTGAAAGTAAGGGTGTTAGGTCGGTAATTAATTTTTATTTTTTTGTAGAATGTTTAGAATTATTGGTTCGACTTATTCATCAATTCTTGCATACATAGAGAATTCATTGCCCAAAATTATAGCTCATTAAAGGTGGCAAACCCACATTTTCCAATTTTGATCCGTGAAGCGAGCGGAGTGGAAGCAAGATTTTTCGCTAGATACGGTAATTAATTGTACAATAAAGACCATCATAATTATTATTTTAACTCGATATTAAGTGTATCTAATATACGTTTTTTATTCAAATTAGACTTTGGCAAAGAAACAAAAGTTGTACTAAATAATCTTTCATCAAAAGACGTAGAATCTAAATTAGAAGAGCTAGTCACTAAGAGCCCTGCGAGATAAAAATTGATATATATAATAATTGGAAGTAAACAGTAAACTTGTACTATACAGTAAATTCGTAATAAATGTAGAGATAAAGTTCCTTCCTTAAAATATATATATTAAATATTACAAGTGATAATTTTTTCTATTATCGATAATTTCATGCTAAAGAATTTAGAACATAGAATCAACCTTTCGACTTGACATTAAACGTAGTTACTAATATCCACTTTATTTAATCTTTAGTTTTCTTGTTGGACAGCTTCTATATAATTCTTACTGTTACTATATATTTCTACTAAAAACTTTGGTAATGGAGACATAGCATATCCAGAAGTCATCATCTTCTTAATTCCTTCGATCACATTTGATCCTTCAAATTCGATTGTTGTCAATATCGGTGTCTCTTCAGGTTGATTATCAGTGGATGTATTAAACAGCATGTCAAACTAAAATTTAGGTAATGAATTTATGGGAAACAATAGCATTTAAATTTGTTTTTACCTTAATCTCTATAACATCAAGAGATAGCTGTTCATTGGGATCAAAATTATCATCTATTGCATTATCTTTCGATTTCATTTGAGCTACAAAATATCAATAAAACAATAAATCGTTATTCTATAATTCACAGTAAGGTTTATGATATCATACCACCTGTATTGGGTTTTTTTGAAGTATGTTCTAACGGACTATCATCAACTTGATTTAACCGATATTGACTTTAAATTCCTTAGGATTTTGATGGAATAATAATTGTTCTAAAGAATTCACATATTTTCCCTTCAATTCACATTCTTCAACCTGCTGACACGCAAAATTTTCAACAAACCCTAAATTTCGAAAAAATAAAATTAATACATAGCATCATAGCAGAATTGCGCATTCGCAACATCCCAATGCCTACACACCTTAATATAAATTCTTTGTGTTCACGCTTAATATTGCTGCACAATAAATGTTTGGAATTAGTAAAGCATATCAAATAAATGATGTTTGTGCTGATTGGGAGTGAATTTTACGAGACGCTATCATGAATACTAATGCGCAACCACCAATTTTTATCATAAACTTCGATGTAAAGATGCTAAACGCCAAAAATTGTATACAATTACATTAACAATTATTGATAAATCTGCTTGATATATCATTTAGGAACAGTGCGAAGATAGTATTGAAATTGAAAAATGTCGTGGTTGTTGAAAGCACGGAAGTATATTAAGATACATCAGGAAACTTTTAAATTGGTTGGCAATCGATTAACAGATGGAAATGTCAATCGATAAACAGCACCCCTGCCGGTTGCCAACAATACAGAATCGATTGATGCTGATTAAAATCGATTAATATTGATTACAGATTAGTATCGCTTGATTGAAAATCGATTAGCATCAAACCAAATTAAAATCAATTATTTTTTAATCGATTGTGCATCGATTAGAAACCAATATCGATTATTATCGATTTTTCTAATCGATGGCAATCGCCCCTGTAGCTGGTAATCGATATTCACCCTATTTAAAAATTTCCCGATGTAATCAATACCAATCTATAAGTTAATTAAAAAGTAGGTAATGTTATGATTATTGAATAATCTCTCACAGAATAAAAATCAATCAGGAAGGTTTTAAATTGGTTGGCAATCGATTGGCAGAAAGAAATGTCAATCGATAAGCAGCACCCCTGTCGATTACCAGCGATACAGATTAGAATCGATCGACAACAAAACTGCTAATTAAAATTGATTAGAATCGCTTTGATTGAAATCGATTGAAAAAAAATGTGAAATTTGCAGATCAAAAAAAAAAAAAAAGAAATGGATGATTTCTGATTCTGATTGCCGATTTCTTTGACATTTTTTTGCAGAAATAAAAGTTGTAGATTCATAATTTTGTAACATATTTTGATTTAGCATCTTTTGTAAAAATATAATTTGCATATTCATCATGTTGTAGAGAACTTGATTGTGTAATATTAAATTTTGTTTCTTTTTAGCCCGATAAAATTTACTATTGCATGATGAAGAAAATTTAAAAGTTGCGCCAAGTTCGATCTTATAAGAATTATTACATGATATATACTAGAAAATTAATTTGTTTATTACAAGGAACTTTAGTATAATTTTTTTATTGGAATATATATATTTTTTCATTACAATAAATTTTAGTAGTTGTACAAAAAAGACACTTTGTGCATCCAAAGCATGTTCCGGGATAATAATAAATTTTGTCATTGGTTTTTTTTTAAAAAAAATATATATGTTAAATAAATATATATATATTATATATATGTATAACAAGTCTTTATATAGTATAATATTAGTTGATACGTATACATACGTCATCAGAAGTAATGTTAACCCGGATCAGCGCCTACATATATTTTTTCTGTAGGAATGTAGCTCTTGGCAACAAAAAAGACATACGCACATACGTACGTACGTTCTGATATCTGGTACGTATTACAAAATAAAAAATAAATAAGGACACAACTTTTTTTTGAAAAATATTGAGATTAAGTTTACATGTCTACTACCGACATTAAAATAACATTTACATTAGCATTCAGCATATTTTGCACGTACGAACGTAGGTTTCATGGCATATAATTTACTTGGAATGTATTTGACACTGGTACCGGGTATCATCGTTGCTATTTCTCACGGATTTACTTATTGCTGAAATTTGTCTTAACAATTTAA